GCCCTTTGCCATAACCGAGCCGCAGTAGTCTCCAACGTCAAATTGGTACGGCTGCCTTCGAACTTCAATATTACAACGAATGGATCAGGGCGTGATTTGATCTTTCAAGTGTTCTTTTCGGAAATATTTACTGGAATATGTTTTGTCTCTGATCGAAGATGAGCACCTTATCATGAAAGCCGAGGTGGACATTCTCATGCCCATGCATCTGGTCAAGAAAACTTGGGTGTCTGTGCACCCGCACGTACTAATCAACGCTTTCATGAAAGCTGGGTTCAAATCCACATTGATTCAGCCAGTGATGCAGCCACTAGAGGATAAATGCGATTTGATTGAGGACTTTACTCATTATGTGTCTACTGATTACCGTCTTTTTGAAGAAGAAATCGCTCGTTTGGAATTTGAATATGAAGAAGTGGGTTATTTAAAATTGTTGAATCAAGTCTCTTTTAGTCATTAGATGAATTCTTTTCGAATCAAGCTATGCATCAGAAAGAAGAAGATTAGTGCGAGGTAGTGAATGCGCCGGAAGTTATGTAAATCAGAGAGGCGCAGAAGTTATTGGATCAATTCAAGCTGTTTGCCTTGGCTAATGCTCAGAATTCGGGTCGATTATTGGAGTGTGCAATTGATTTAAACAGCGCGTTTGTTGATTTCCAAAGGAGAGTCAAGCTGAAACAAACGATGATTTATGATTTTGCCTAAAATACATCTTTGTAATTTGCAAAGTATTTTTTTGCAATTCTGTGGGGCACTTGAATGTAGTCATTTTTCCTACAGTGGTCACCAAAGCCACGGTCATTCAGTCTATCGATGGGCTCGGTAGCACTAACGTGCAAACGGGTGAATGATAATCGCGATCGATTAGTAAGCGGGTGAGTCGAGTGAGATGACAGATCCGAGCGATCGATAAACACCGTCACGCGGACACGCCGGTGGGAATAAATGAACGATACTCTCACTTGTCCTAGGGCACCGATAAAATTAGACAGGTCATTTGCCAAAGGTCATCGTAACCCTGGTCTAAGGACAGTTTGTGTGATGCACTTTTAGTTTACGAATCGTTAATTGCTTGAGAGTCGCCGTAATTCCTGTAGGCTGGCGTCTATGACCTTCGGTTGGCTGAAGTATATTTCTCTCAAGTAACCGCCCGTCTCACACCTGCCAGAAAACTAGCGCTAGAACGCGCTTAAAAATAGTGCATGTATCTTAGACGAGTCAAACGCTGGCCCAGTGTCATCATTGCTTGAACTTTTTCATTCCGAATCTCTAACATGGCTTATCGATCCACAGCTGATTCTCCTGTGGTGATTCTCTACCAACACTTAAGCAGCATCCGATTCAGAACTTATCCTCTTCCTACGTCGACCCAGAAAGCACACGACTTGATCAGGTTCATTTATCGATCGATCGGATAAGTCACCGCAACAAGAGACCTGGCGGTTGCCCACCTAACCCGAGCGGGAAACCACACACCTTGTCTACAAGACAAAGTGAAACGATGGCGTGATCGGATTATCATACTACCTCGAACATGTTAAATTGAAAATGATATGGTTTATGAATCACGTTATGGCATCACGTGTTGAATTTAGTCCGACCAATAACGGTCAGGACGAATGCATCAATCGGTTTGAACAAAAGCGAACCAACAAACAGCTGTTCACAGACACTAATGGTACACATTTTTCACGAACAGCGAACTATCAGCTTGCATATGAGAAGGAAGTCAATGTTCTGAGTATACCCCGAAACTCACTCATTTCAGTTGTTATTTCGTTCTCACTGTATTCGAAATGGTTCACTTTAGTTTTCCTTGCTGATGTGATTATCATAGCTAAAATGGTTGTATATTATGGTTAACGTCAATTCTGTGGTTAGCCTAACGTTACAACGGAATGGAGGAATATCTGAAATTAATATGGGATAAGTAGCTCAGAAAAAGTTCCCTTGAAGATTGGTAGGTAGTTTCGGGATAACTAGACACTTAGAACTGAAAAAGGCTGAATACCGTGTGCAGTGTACCGATATTAAGCTGAGTGTCATAAAAGATTTAAATTTCTTCGATACATAAAGGATACACAGGACGGTAGATCTAAATTCCGTTATAAATAAACAGTTTATAATTATAAACATTGTGAGCAACTAACGGGACCAACCTACTTTTCATCGGTCCGGTTTATTTTGTCATAAAACTGTCAAGCGATTTTTATACTACTTATTAGCATCTACCACTGTTTACCTTGCTATGTCGCAGTTCCTGGAATTTACCCGCTTTTTCGAATTCGCAAAGGGTGCAACATAGCAGGTGATTCACTGTACTTAACTTGACTTGAATTGGTGTGTGTGGGTGAGGGTGGTGGGTTGCTGGTTCGTCTTGATTGCGGCTTTAGTCCGTTCTTAGATCAGGGTGTGACCTTTTGTTGTGTCATTTGATCCTTGAAGAAGAATCCAAACGCACTGCAACCCGTAGCTTTAGCAAAAGAACTCTGACTCAAAGAAGGAAACAAAAAAAACAGATGGAGAATCGGGAGCAACAACAATTCTGACGTACATCAAGAACCTTTTGGAAATGACAGCAAGACTGCTCAGATCATACAGAATCCAAGTCGACAGCAAATCAACCGGCAGTCTACGGAGACTTCTTTCAAAACCAGAGGAGAGAACAATGAAAAAAGACAAAAGCAATATTATCTACAAAATAAACTACAAACTGGAAGAAAACTATCAACAGTGATCCGTGAACATCAATCGGCAGTCAGGAGGTAAGACCCCCATCGTTGATTTCTCTCCACACAGATCAAAGGACATCAGTTGAATTTAGAATCAGTGAGAATTATCGACCAAGCCCGGTCAAAACATTCCAGTGAATTTCTCGAGGCTTAGCACTCTTTAATCAAATCAATGGACAGACAGACATGTTGAATTGGAGCACATGTACACGCTAATGTAACTCAATGATCAAATAATGCAACAAAAGATCACGTCGTTACATGAGAACGGATCAAAACCGCAATCGAGAAGGAATACAACACCATCACCTCCACTCACCAATTCAACGGCAAACCGAGTCAAAAACACAGTGGGAACAACGCTTCGATTTGGTGGTAGTCAGCTTTGCTGTTGTCCGATTCAATACCACACCTAACCTATCGGGGCCTTATGCGGTTCACCACTGCAAGTCCCACGGGGCTTCGGTTACCGGTTTCCATCACTAAACATCAGGTCCTCGTGAATGTGGGGTTTATCTCGTCTATTGTTCATCACACAAAAATGTGCAATAAAAAAACGTAAACGACCGGGTACACGCAGAACACTGCCACTTCACAGGCACTGACGATGTCACCTCGGCTGATGAAACGTTTGCAAACCAGCTGCCAAGTTCAGTGAATAGGTGAAATGGAATCCATATCACCCGAACTATGGGAACCGATTTTCAATACTTTTTCAACGCAAACTGTATTCAGCCTGACTCTTAAAGCCACAATACAATCATTTGCAGAGGCGTGTAAACGCATACTTTCATAAATTTTAGTTTGCCTAGGTCAAAATTCGCGTTTCCTCAAAGGACCCCATCCCAGCTGTTCAAGTGACAAAAGTGTTATCCTCAAAGTGTAGAGCATGGAGTATGAGGTCCGCAGTATATTGGGAGCCAGTGTATGATTACACGCTCGTGAATCAGAACATGAGCTCCATGGCCCCAATAAAAAAATAGATTATCGAGACCGGATGTTGTGGAGCCCACTAGTTTATCCCTTCTTAGAAGCTTGTAAACAAGGTTTTCCAGCACCCCTAGATCAGCTAACCGCTCGTAGTTTATTAATTCAACTATAGCGCCGTAAGGTAGGGTTTTTGTCTCTCTGTCCCTCACTTTCACTTTAAGCAAAACATCCTCACCACGAGAATTCTATGGGTAGAACCCCCTCAACAGTTGCTTTAGGAAACGCGCTCCTTACGAGCATTTCTCGAAGCGGGAATAAGGCTTTGCTCATCCCACCCCACCCCTCAAAACAATCACGTGCAGATTTTTTGTAGTCCATGTGCACTTGGTATCAGAATGAATTACAGACTGAATGTTTTACTTTATACCGGACAACATTTATCTCTGATCTGCACAATCCATCTCTCCCCTGCTCCGTTTAATTATATCACCTACAGGTCTCCCGAGCACGAAGACATTCGTCCTGCCACATTGACCAGTATGAGTATTGATGTCGCACAGGGAGTGAGCTATTTGCACAGTAAACATTTGAGGCATCGGGATATCGCGTGTCGAAATTGTCTGGTCGGATCGGATCATGTGGTGAAAATTGGCGATTTCGGTCTCACACGGGAAGCGGCCAAAAATAGCGCGGATGGTTATTATAAATTTACTCGTAACTGTACGTCTCCTTGTTTTCTCTAGGCAATCGCATTGTCTTACAATTTTTTCTGTGTCGTCCAACTCCGTATCATACCTACCTGTTTACTTTACGTTGGATGGCTCCTGGGAGGTAATAGGCTGGCTCCATGGATATCCCAAATTGTCGCTGTCTACACTCGCCGGTCTGCGTCAAGATCAGTGCAGATTGTATTCCATCTGGACTTCTATTCACGAATGCCGTAAACGGAGTGGAGACCAAGGTTTTCTGTATCCTTTTCTACCGGGTGTAATCAGATTTTCAGCTGTCCACTATGTCGATAGTGCCATTTCGGATGGATTGAACAAGTCACCGTATCATACGTAACCTACAGGAAGCCTTTTATGCAGTTCGCTACTCTGATTGGCATATTATCGATTGGTTAGGTAAATAGGAGGCTTCTCGTAACCATGAGGTTGACCTCTTCTACTGTCAATCACTCATAGGTGTGCAAGTAAAAACAAAACAACCCCAACCTAGACAAATGGAAATTTCCTCGCGCTACGGGATTATAATCTTATTATGACTCACCGTCCGGACTTTGAAATGCGAACCCATCGGACATGGAAGACGTGTGTATTACCATGGTGCGAACCAGCTCATGCCAGGGCGGAATCGAACACCCAATTCACGTTTGTTCAGGTGCCGTCTTCATTGCTAGTCAGTCAGTTAGTTCACTGTGGGCTCGACAGCAACTAAGGAAGACACAGTTGACTGCCTGTTAACTCCAACCGAAAGCCTCACAAATCAATCAACTACCTCATACAGGTTACTGGCTGATTTGCCACAAATCTACTAAACACGACACCTGAACAAATATGGATTAACCATTCGGTTCAGCCCTGGTATGAGCTGGTTAGCACCATGATAGCACACACACACGTCTTCTATGCGATGGATCCGGAGTTCAAATCCCGGACAGGATGATGAATATGCACTACTGATGAAGAGAGCGAAACTCGAGTCTAATGCTTCCGAGTGTATGGTTGAATCGATGAATTGAGAATCGTGCGTGAAGGTGAAGTCCGAAGGATAGTCAGTTCAAATAAACTAATTAAATTGGTGGTGTCGATCGAAGGAACGACACAATATTCAAGAAAGGGAAAGCAGCCAATCAATGGGCTGTCATACACCCGAGAGGGGGGGGTTGAAGTCGGGCACTGGTAATGGGATTCGAATACACGTCTTCCGGGGTGATAATTTGGTGACGTTACCATCGAGCCACGACCGCCCACAATGTAGTATGAACAAAAAAAACAGAATTAAGAAATCTCAACTGCATAAAAATAGATTTATGCATCATCTGTAAATACTAAAACTGTATCACGGTACACTGAGACATGAACACGCGGTAGGCGGAAACAGTTTGACATATTACCAAGGTAGAACCAAATAAACCAATTTCCGTCTGTCAATACAGACTGCGTTTCCATTGCGATTGACCTGCCAATGTGTTGTTAACAGAAGCCTCGCGATCGATGATGCAGTAGTTTAGTGCATTCGACTTGCTGTGTCTATGTAACATTCACTGTGCTGACCACCTACTGAACCCACTTCATCTCAGCACAACGGTTATTACTGTTGTGAGGTACTACTTACATCTGTGATTAGTTTATGCACACCAAGAAGTGGTTGTTGGATTCCCACGGCACCCGCAAGTGAATTAAAGGATTTTCCTGTTGCAACTACAAACGAGACAAGCAGACTGTCAGGCTGGCAATCACCGATTCAGAGGCAAACATGAGAATGCTAACCATTTGTTGCTAAACGGATTTTTCGTTCTGTGAAATTTTATCTACCCCTATCGGATGCTGTTCGTCCCGGAACTGTCCCATTTATTCATAACAACTGGGACTCACGAAGACGATAGCGATCTAGCGATGGTCACCCATCCTGTCCCAACAGAAAGAACTTGGCTCTAACCTGGTAATGTTTCAAACTATTTCCCCTTTCCCTTTGCTTATGACTCAGTGTACCGGTGGTGGTGACGCAGTGGTTTACTCGCTGTCACCGGCGTGCTTTGGACCCTGTGGTCCGAGGTTCGAGCTCCTCCACCGATACCCGATTTTGGTGGTAGGCAGCTCTGCTGTCGTCCAGTTCATTACCACGCCTAACCTATCGGGGCCTTATGTGGTTCGCCGCTCCAAGTCCCGGGGCTTAAGTTGCCGGTTTCCACCACTAAAACAGCAGGTTCTCGTGACTATGGGGTTTACCCCGTTTGCTGTTCATCACACTTAGGTGTGTGATGAAAAAAATTTAAAACAATCTATTTTTCCGCAGTAATCATCAGTCGGAATGTACGGTGCAATTTCGCAACTCTGTGTTCTTGGTTCACACTACAATCGGGACGATAATGCGGTATATCATGAAACGAGGAAAAAAACCGTCCAAAATTTATATCCCTATGGTTCACGTCCCCTTTCACTTGCTCCGAATCCTTCAGGTGAACTGCCCATTCGCTGGATGTCTCCCGAAGCTCTACAATTTGGTATTTTCAGTGTTCAATCCGATATCTGGTCGTATGGGATCACTTTGTACGAGATTATCACATTCGGTGTGTTCCCGTACAACGATATGGACGATGTGGAAGTGGTGGAGCGGGTCAAACGACGCGAGTGTAGCATCACGGAATTCTTACCGCATACAGCGATCGATACTGTCGTGTAAGTTGCCGCGAATTTCTCTCATTTTCCTCCTTTATTCTCCCGCCCGCTCTCCTCTTCCACGTCCGCTGGTGTGCCCACTGCTTCGTGTCCGGCGGGTGTTGGTTTTCGTGACATTATTCTCCATTGTTTATCCTGCTCTGGGATTTATCTACCCACAAAAGCGACAGTATTGTATTGTATTATAGATGACTTGTGCAGGCAACTGTGCAACTGTGTGCACCGTTTGAATGGGTAAAAAAATGAAATGATAATTCATGTACAACAATGATAAAACTGAAACAGGTGTTCATCTTTCTAAGTTTAAAATTAGTTCGTTACGGATCTGCACCGTGTCAGTGAAATACGAGCCAGATAGTGCACTGTTGAGTTGCGATGATTGTTTATGCGGGAGGGAAAGCAGCGAAAATTGGACCGGGTTGAAGCGCGTGGGAACGCCAAGCAGATAACTCGGGATTAAACGGATGACTGGGGTTATTGAGTAGCTTATGAGCAAAATTCTCACATGAAGTGATATGCAAATTACACAATTTTGTGTTCAGAGTGTTTAAAAGAATAAGAGAAACGCAGCTGATAGTTACTAAACCGCGTGGTAGAGTAAAGAAATCCTTTCTAAGTAGTTCAGGGAAAACAATGGGCCAAGAACAAGGTTTGACAGGAAAAATATATCGATAGACAAAAGAACACGACGGTTGCCAGACCTTAGGGATGCAATCACTAAGCGCAAAATTCATTCAGCGAGGCGCAAAATACGATATGTATATATATATATATATATATCATAATAAGTAATATGTGAAAGGCTGAAGAAAATTCCCTTGGAAGCACGCAACTGGTTTCGCGGTTCTTGCCGCTCGTCAAACAGGAGTATCCGGTAGTCTTTTGTCAGTTCATTCATATACTTGTAACCAGGACGTGTATTTGCATATATATTTTCTATCACAACAAGTTTTGATACGTAAGCGCATGTGTGCCTCTATTTTTATCACATAATATGATGTTCAGTTGTTCGCCGAGCTTGGCAATTGTATTGCAAACTTGTATAGCAACTCGTGTGCACGAACACAAACTGGCCGTCAGAAGACACGATGCGCTTTCACTCATCTCAATCCACGAGGACGGAGAAGGATACAACTTCGATTTCGAAAACATCAAAGTCGTCGATCAGGCGCGCACCAAGCACGCAAGAGAATTTCCGGAAGCTTGGTATTCATCGGAAAACTC